CTTTCAAACTTATCTGGAACCTCCTCACCATTTTTAATATTGATAGAAGAGGGTTATAAATACTGTAGCATGAATTCTATGCAGGCGTATTCACCTAGCCTGCTCAATGGGCCTTTTTCCCAAGGATGAGTGTAACACTGCAGTCTAAGATTATGATCGTAAGACATAGTCAAGAGTACGCCCCAGACAACTCAATGGAACCTACTTGTACATAAATACCACTGGGGTCAAGTTGTAGAACTTTGGGTCTGGTACATTCAGGGAGCTTCAAGGATACAATCCACTGGGGAATTCATATGGATCTCACAAAGAACTTCCTGCTATGTTCCTAAATGTCCCCCCCCGCTTGTTGTTTTTAATTTGTCTAGCTTTTATTATTTTACTTTCTTTATACTTAGTTACAGCAGCTATGATTGACTCTACCAATATTTTTCTAAAGAGGTAATTAGGTTCCTCCGGGCAATAGCATATTTCTTCCATGTAAGTGAAAGGGCATTTTCTGAGAGCTGAAATTAGGATTGTCTGATTGTACAGAGAAAGAGAAGAATTCCCCTCGGGTTTTCTGAGAACTTGTTCAAGGAGTATGTGACAGAAACTGTAGATAGTTTCACATGATCCAGTTTACAAAAAAATAAAAAAAAATCTAATTACACAACTGTCCCACATCTTTTTCTAAAATCAACTTAGTGGCATTCGGTGCTGAACTTTTAACTTGGTTAAAGCAAGGCACTAGAATTAAATCTAGCATTATTTTATTATTTATTTGTTGCATTCATATCATTATCTTTCCTCCAGTGAGATCAAAGAAACGTATGTGGCTCGCTTTCTCCCTATTTTATCCCCATAATCCTGTGAGTGAGGTAAAATTAAGAGAGTGTAACTGGCTTTAGGTCATCCAGGGAACTGGCAGTTTCTTATCTGAACTGCCCAACAGGCTAATAATTATTCTTAATTGAAAACTGCAAGTAACCCTTTCACATGAATACCTGTCCTGTAGACTGTCATTTGAAAATGTCACACTGAATTCCATAGCCTAAATGCAGCTGCTAGTTAGATCTACTAAAATAAACCCATAAAACCAGTAAACCTCATTCAATGGGTCTGTCCTAGTTGAGACTAAATACTGCCAGAAATACAAATAAGTGGGTGCTGGATCAAATCAAGCCTGACCTCTCGCTAGAAGCAGAAATGATGCAACTGAGATTGTTGTGCTTTGGGCACATAGTGAAAAGATAAGGATTCCTTTGAGAAAACGTTATGTGCTGTCAAGTCACCTCTGATTTATAGTGACTCTTTGAATAAGCAATCTCCAAAATATCCTGTCCTCAATTACCATGCTCAGCTCTTGTAAACTCAAGCCTGTGGCTTCGTTTAGGGAGTCAATACATCTAATATTTGGTCTTCCTCTTTTCCTGTTGCCTTCTACCTTTCCCAGCATTTTTCTCTTTTCCAGAGAATCCTGCCTTCTCATTATTTGCCCAAATTAAGACAGCTTCAATTTCAACATTTTTGCCTCCAGAAATAATTCAGGCTTAATTTGATAGAGGACCCACTTGGGCAATAATAACGGGGACAGTGAAGGCAGTAGAAAAAGAGGATTACTAAATATGACATGGATTAACTCGATAAAGGACACCACAGCCTTGGGTTTACAAGAGGAGGATTGTTAATGACAGGATGTTTTGGAGACCAATAATTCATAGGGTGACCATAAGCCACCAGTTACTTAACATTACAAAACAACAGCAGACAGATAGCATTTCCTCAAAAGTTAAGTGTGCATCAGATTGCCTCCTTCTAACACGGAAGAGCTTATGTCTAAGTAAATGTGAAGAGGACTGTACTGTATGACACTTGTAATCTCACTGATTTAAGCTGACCAGACTTGCAAGCTACATGGTTTTGACCCAACCAGATTGGTTGGTCAAAGGGAACAAAGATCTCAACCCTCATTTCATTTACCTGGAAGCCAGTTTGAGGTATTTCCATGAAACTAGCATCTAAACAGATACGTATGAAGCACAATCCTAAGCAGGTTTTACAGTAAGTCTTGGCAAGTTTCAGTGGGATTTCCTCCAGGGTAAACCTGCTGTGTAGTTAGAGTGACCGGAGGACTGCAGCATCACCCAGTTCACTTTCATCTAGCCAAGCCATTACTATCAACAGGACATACCCTAATTGGGGGGCTTTTGTTTCTTCTCTACACCCTTCTAGTCTACTGAAGAATCTGGAGAAGTCAAAAGCTTCCACACTTCTGTGGCATTTTGGCTGAACCTAATAACAGAAATGCCCAGCTATGGATCTGGAGGATATTGGGGGCGGGCAGGGGTTCAATACAGCTACAATTGCTTGGTTATTTTTCAATGTATCTGTCTCAACTAAATAGCTAAGACTTAAATAGAATCGAAGGTTAAAAATGCCATAGCATTGCAGAAGTGTTGAAGACAACAAGTGCTTCCACACACAAACCTGAAAACTCAAGTCCCTCTTGCATACACATGTGTTTTACTAATGGAAGACAGAAAATGAGGTAATTTTAAAAAATCAAATACGTATACTACTGCAGATCGGAGGGAGTATTCAATTGCCCATGCATCTGGCACTATAAATCTCATAATCTTTTACCATTTAGATGCAACATTCAAAACATTGGAAATATGTCTGTGCTAATCAATGTACAGTTACAGGAAGGATGAAAGGCACATTTAGTACCTTGTATGAAAATACTCTGAAAATAATTCGCGAAGCTGATAAACTGCTATGTTTGTAGAAGGATGAACTAACACAACTCCAGTAATTTCTCATTTGTGATGCAGCTCCACTGCATGCCACAAACACAACTCAGGTGACTGCAAGGTCTGCTCTAATTTGTTTATATGGAGGAGGAACATTGTTTCTGTAATTCCCTTTCAGCCCATGCAGATTTTCTCTCTCCATAGAAATAAACATATGTGCTTCATTTGAAGATCACAGCCAGGATGCTATTAACAGTTGAACTGGGACAGATCTGGGTGATCTTGGGCCAGTCATTCTTTTTGACCTACCTCGCAGGGTTATTGCTGGCAATGTCAGAGGGGAGCTAAATCCACTGCCTTGAGCTCACAACAGGAAAGGATATAAACGCAACAAATAATACATGAGCTTTGACTTTAGGGCTCATTGTGGCCCTTTGGATATACTGGGCTCCCAAATCCCACCAGCTGCAGCCAGAATAGCTAGGGACCAGAGATAATGGGAATTGTAGTCCAGCATCATTTGCAGCCCTGCAAGTTCCTCAGCCTTGATTCGGGCCATAAAAACCATGCTCCCCAGCCCTCAAGGGCCATTTGCTAGTGACTGGCACAGAAAAAGAACTTCACTCATGTGACATGTTCACAGAAAAGCAAGTCACTGAATTGGATTGGATTGTGCGACTCAACTACCACCCAATAGCTGCTGATACTTTCCTGAGATACAAGGTGAATATTAATAGTATTCAACCAAGATATATGCACACCTCCAGTGCACATTTGCATTTCTTTGTCTTTGTTAGCATAGAGATGTACATAAAATTAAGTGTGCTTAGTATACCTAATGCTCATAATATATGCATTCATATAACATGTAGATGCTCATGTGCAAACATGGGATGAATAGTGAATAAACACCACCATGCCTTCAGAAAGGAACACAGAGAAGCATACTTGTATGTAAACGTTAAGAACTATGAATGAGAAGCTGTAGGTAAGCATTTACACACACACACACACACACACACACACACACACCAATAGAGGATGCAACTCACTAGCATCCCTACAGAAATGAATGGGGGGCTCTATAATGGTAATCTGGCATTCTTTTGTAGTTCCCCTTCTTTCCATAGAGAACTTCCTGGTGGATTGATCCCAGGGTCCTTCATAGTGTGTTGCAAACTAGATGGGGGGGGGAGGGGGTAGAGGAACTGGAGAAGAGAGAAATTATTCTTTCCTGTACTGGGAAAAACCACCATCCTGTTCCATGCACTCTCTTCTATATACCACTCCCACTTCAAGAAGCCTATTTTATTTGCGGCTTGTCCAACAAATGTTTTGAGAACCGGAGTATTTGTTATTTTATAAAAAGGGGGAGGAAGAAAAAGTAAAATATTCAGCAGACCACTGTGTTTTAAGGCCCTGATCCAGGAAGGCTGGGTATGCATACGGTGAGTGGTGTCCGCAGAGAAAGAAAATACAATCTTGGGGGGNGGGGGTGAGCAAAGGGATTTTCTCTTCTCTAGCACAAGAGGCATGCATTATTCCTACTGCTAGGTGAAGCTCCTCCCCATCCCCACCCCGCTGCTTTCTCTATAGTCCCCCAGAAGTACTGGCCATCCATGGAAACCTGCTTCAGAATACACACACTTCATTCACCAGACTCTCATAGGAGAATCTGAGGCAAATGAAATGGAAGCTTGGGTTTTTCTCTCCACATTAACAAATTCTTTGTATTATAAGCTTCATTTAAAATATTTCTTCCTTCTGGAACTTATGTTTGTAAAGGTAGAAATCAAAGGGGGAAGGGAAAAAGGTGTCAATATTTGGCCTCTCTCGAATTCCACATTCCTTTGAAAATAATAGTCGGTGGGCAGTTAAGGAGCACCACATACCTCCGCTTTTACGTAAAATTGGCTCCTATTTTGAATACAAAAGTAAGAGTATGGCACTGAGGGGTAGGTTTGTTTTCTCAAAAAGAGAATTAAGCAAATGGAGAAACTTCCCTCTTATTCTTCCTGTTGTCCCTCTCAGGGGAAGCAAAAAAATTCAAACTATATAGTATCCTAATTTTTCTTTTCGTTTCACCCTGATGCATTTCAGTAAAAGAAACTCATCTATTAGGAGGTGAATGTTCAAAATCAGTTACCCAAAGGGGGAGTTTACAGCCAAAACAATGTGGATGTCTTCCCCTTCACAACAAAACACCTAAATCGCACCATGTTCCCTTAAAAAAAAAAATCTCATTTTATCTTTTCTTGTTGTTAGTTGCTTTTTTTTTTTAAGTGTGGACATATTTCAGTGCTAATTTTTCCTGTAAAATCAAAACAAATGAGGAGCTGTTCAAGTGCCCCAAATGTGTGAAATAGCTACCAAAAATTATGTAAATATTAATTCATAAACACATTTCACTCATGAAGTAAGCACCAGAAGCTGCAGGGGGGCTTCCTCCTTCCATGTAATTGTGTTTGGGATCGCAGCCTTAAATGCTTCTTTTAAATGCTTCTGTATATATTCCAAGTTCAGTTTGCTTTACTGTAACAAATCAGTGTAATTCCAAATGAATTTGAAATCCAAGGTGCCAGTATTTTTCCCTAGTGAAACCTAGGATTTCTGTTAATTCTTAATTTCTCTTCCTTCTTAGTAGGCAGAAAAATGTAATTTTAATAATATATTTTTTTAAATGGCAGGGATTTCATTTCAGTCCTAAATATCATGGTAATGTTCCAGACCACAGTCACTTGGGAGTAAAAGCCAGTCAATAAACGGATTATTTCCAAATAAATATGTTTAGACTTTGGGATCTAAGGCCCAATAATATTAGAAGTATTTGCCTTCCAGCAGATGATTTGCACTTTTAAAGAATTGCTCCTCTGCGCAGTCCCCCACTGATTGTGCAGCAGCAGCAGGCCTCCTCAGGAGTAAAGAGTTTGATTTCCCATCCTGTGATCTGATTTTGAAACTGGAAACATACAGAGGCTGACTTGCAAATACGCATTTTCTCTCCCCCTTGGAGTTGGGAAGATTTGGTTTGGATTTGATTTCAGAGAGGCAGGGAAACCTTTGAAGACAAAGAGGAACAACTAATGCAGGAGGAGGAATAAAGAAGAGTTGTTTGCATGGGGGAGGAATGCTTTGTTTCCTCTGGCAAGAGAAAAAGACTCCCTCTTTTCTGCACTCCCTCTTGGAGATCAAATTGTCCATCTGCAATTCATTGCAAATATGCCCCTGGATCCAATTCCCTTCTTTTTCCAGTAAAATTTTACATAAACAGAATGTTACCTTAGGCTACTGAAGTCAGGGTTCTATTAACCAACAACCCCCCTGTAAAAATCCAATTGGTTCAAATAACCCCTTTCTTTTTTGTTGTTGTTTTCTTTTTGTCTTTGGTGCAATTTTTCGGAAAAGTTCACCTCCCTCTCTTTTGCCTCTTTAGTAAACGACGAAATACAAAGATGTTTGCTGGAAATAACTTGTTTGCATTAACCTGCCCCCCCTTTTTTTCAGGATAACAAGATAATTATTTTCTGCACATTTCTCTCCCTCTCTCTTTTCAAGTTCTGCTGTTGGGTATAAAATAGTCACTTTTGTCTTTCTTAATCAGGAAGTGGGTGGAAGGAGGGGGGAGGGAGTGATGCTTTGATGAGTTTAATGTGCAATGGTTGAAAGGCCATTCCATTTCTCTTCCAAATTAAGGAAGAAAGGTGGGGGGGAGGGGAGGGGTATGAGTACACTTTTTACTTGGTGAATGGGGGGAGGGAGGGAAAAGAGTTAACTTAGAGGAGGGGGAAGGGAAGATTGCTCCAAACTTTCTCATTCCCCTTAACACACCCACCGCTCTTCTAAATTTCTTTGCTTGGTTCAAACCACTCCATGCTAGAAGGAGGGGGAGGGGAGCCTGGGTCTGCCCCCAGCTGCCTTCTTTGTCTTTATATTATGATTAATTCTTCGAACTATCCAGCTCTGACAGTATAAATATTGTACATATATTCAAAACATTGCTTTCTGCGTTAGAAAAATTAAATTAAATTAACAATTCACACCCAATTTAATTCTCCAGGTTCTTCAACTCATGTGCACCCACCAATACTGGAAAAGGTGATATTACTGATTTTCTTTTAAACAGCCCTCCATACTAGAGGTTTTTATCCAGTAGCATTCAAAGATCAACATTTTATGAGTTGGGAATTATTTTAAGAAAACGAAAAATGACAGCACTTAAAAAAAAAAAGAAAGAAGGGGACCGGAAAAAAGGAAAAAAAAACTAAATGAATGCCAGAAATTCCAGTTTGAAGGGGGAATGTGGTGTCTTGAGAACCTCTTTTTGTGAGAATTTCGGGAAAAAAATATTGGTTTGGGGATCAGGATGTCTTATCCTTGAAAGGCATTTAGGCTACAATCCCATACCCACTTACCTGAGAGTAAGCCTCAGTAAACTCAGAAGGACTTAAGCCCGAACAGAGGTGCATTGCACTGATGCTCTAAAATCAGCCCCATCTGTAGCGATGGAACTTATTTCTTGGCGAGTATGTTTCAAAATCACAAGCTGCTATCAACGGCAAACTGAAATGAAAGGCCACTGAACCCCATAAAGTTACTTCCGGGTAGATACAGAATTATAAAGCCAGATTTCCTTTTCTTAGCTGCATATTCTATTTATACCCCCCACAACACCCGACAACCTGTTGCAAGCAACTCGTCTTAAATCCTCCATCTACACATCCTCTAAGCCGTATCCCCGGAATTTCAGGCTGGGGGGCACGGGGATAGCATTGCTCCCCAGCTGCCAGGTCCAAAGCGGATGCGTTTTGGAGAGGGCGCACGAGTCTTTTACGCACAGGGAAGACGCAGGGCAGAGGTCCCCGTCGGAGCCGACGACCAAGGCGGGCGTACAGGGGAAACTGCCCATGAGCGTGAAAGGGTTCCTGGCAGGCGCTGGGCTAGGGCTGAGCAAGCGTTTGCAAGGCGGGCTGGCCCCTTTTCTGCTCGTCTTCCTGGGCATCTTTGGGGGCCTCCCCCTGGCCTGCCTCTCCCGCTCGGCGCGTCGGCGCTTGGCGTTCCTTTCCGAGTCTCTGCCGCCTTTCAAAGGTTTGTTGGCCAGGCCGAGGAGGCCGGCCTTGGGGGTGGACGAAGTCCCTTTGGCCTGCTCGGCCCGGCGCAACCCTTTCCCGTCCACGTTGAAGCCCTTGGCGTAGCACCACAGCTTGGACTGACGGATGAGCCGGTCGAATTGAGCCTCTCGCCCGGACGCTTCCTGGGCGGCGTCCTCCTCTCGGAGAGGGCATTCCCCCTCAGGTTTGCCCGGCTCACCAAGACGCAGGCCCTCCCTGGAGCTGGAGCTGTGGGAGGCGGCGGCGGCGGCGGCGGCCTTAGCCAAGTCCTCCTCTTCAGAGTCCGGAGCGCGGGGCTCCAAGGGTCCCTTCCTCGGTTGCGGGCTCGGGCTGCTCGCGTCGCCAGGGCCGCCAGGAGGACTCCCCGCCGGAGGACTCCCGGCCTCTTGCTTGACCCGAAGCTCCGGTTCCTCCCGCCGGGGCTCCTTCGGCGCGTTAGGGGGAACGGGCAGGAAACTTTCTAAAGTGGAGGCGCGCAGCGTCCGGGCCCAGAAAAGTAGGTTCGGGTCGGGGCGCAGGCCTTTGGTCCCGCCGGGGAGGGCAGGGGAACAGGCGGGTTGGGCTGGGAGGCGGGGAAGGGCCGCCTGCCTGTACCGGGTGCTCTGCACTGAGTCTCCGCTGCAAAGGGAGCTGCTTTCCGAGCCAGAGGAGCTGCCCTCGTCGCTGCTGCAGGACGAGCCCTCCTCCTCTTCCTCCTCCTCCTCCTCCGAGGAGTCGCTCGAGGTGGCCGGGCTGGAGGCGCCGCTGGAATCCGAGTCGCTGGAGTAGCCGGCCGAGGTGCCTTGGCGCTTGGAGCCGGCGAAGGGCGCCGAGCGACCTTTCTTGTTTAGGCAACCGCAGGCGGAACGCTTGGGCCGCCCGGCGTCGGGGGCGCGAGGCGTCTGGCCGCCGGCCCCGTTCGCCCGGACCGCGGAGTGTAGGAGCTGCAGGTCGGCGGGGTAAGCGCTGAGCACGCCGGCTAGGAGGTGGCCCCGGACGCTCCGGCTGTAGCTTCGGGCGGGTGGCGCGGCTTTCTTGTATCCTCTGTCGAAGGGATCCCGCAAGAGCGCTTCTCGCTTGGCGCAGCCGGCGCCCACGTTGGCACGAAAGGCGCTGTCGGAGAGTAGCCGAGACCGATTGAACCGGCCCGCGGGCTCCCTCCTCTTGCTCTTGCTCTTCCTTTTCCTCTTCCTGGGGGCCAAGGCCTTGCAGGAGGTGCAGAGGGCCTCCAGGTCCGCCTTGGAGATGAGCGAACATTTGACGGCGCGCATTGGCACGGACTGGATAGCTTTGAGGGTGCGCAGCTCCTTCAGGTCGCACCGGCGGCTCTGGATCTTCAGGCTCTCCATTTTTTTGCTCACGGTGGCCCGGGGGATGTCCTTAAACAGGTCGCTGAAGACCTGGGTGAGAGCGAACATCCGGGTGCCGTTAATCTGCAGGTAACCCAAACTGATGCCGTCGATTTCCTGGTAACCAGCTTGGAACTCTCCATTGTAATCCATGGTGTTGGCGGCGGCGGCGACTGGGAGTATCTCGCCGGTCAGGTCAGGAACATGTTTGTTTGTCTGTTTATTTGAAGAAAGGGGGGCCCTTCATGGCCAGCAGTGGGGGAGCCCAGCTCTTCCCCATCTTCCCCCTACCCCCCCATCAACCCCTCGTCGTGGAGTGGAGTGATGAATTTTCCTTTCAAACGCATCTCGGGAATCCAGAACCGCCTTCTCTCCCCCCCCCCACTCCTTCCGAAGAGCTTCTTTTCTTCCTCCGCTCTCTTAAAAATCCAGAAAAGGGGGGGGGGCGCAAAAGAGAAAAACGTTGACTTGGCGTAATCCTTTCCCTTCCTCTGGATGCTTTTTGCTCCTGAAAGCGAATCTTTCCCACCAACCTCCTAGGGGCGAGCGTCCGGCCAGGGAAAGGACTTGAAATGACGCCCCCCACCCCACCCCGTGCCTCTCTCCCTTTTTAAAAGCTCCCCTTCTGATCTTTAAAACCAAGCAAAAGCTCCAGGCGAAGAGCTAGAGAAAGAGCGGCGACGCTTCCTCCCAGGCAGTCCCCAAAACGTGGAGGAAGGCGTTTAATCCGCCACAGCGCGCACACCAAAATCTGCATCGTGGCCACCTTCGCCCCCGACTCCGCTTCTTTCTTCAAGACGGACTTGGAAGTACAGTATATTATAGGAAACACCCCACGAAATAATTTTCTCCAGAGTGGAAGCTGATTGGGTATTTTAACCTGGTGATGTCACAAAACCCCCAACATTTAACACACACCCCCGTTCAAAACCCTCACATAAAAAAAACACACAAAAAACAAACCACCACCCTTTCATTTAAGCGTCGGAGCGACACCGTCGAAAACTGTAGAGGAGTTTGTATAAATCCGTTGTGTACCTTCAGAGAAAGGCAAATGCGTGTTGTTGTGTGATTTTTAGATAAATAAGATACGGACTTCTCTGTGTCCTGCCATCCATTTGCTCTCCTTTCTTCTCATCCACGATGTTTGCAGTGTTATTGTTAAAAGTGCTGGGGAGGCAGCAGAGGAGGCACTACTGAATATTTTAATAAACTATATTTTAAAATATTAGAAATATTGTTTCTAATATTTGTCAGTCTATCCTATAGGTATTGTTTTTGAAATTTTCCTCCGTGCCAGATTGCTTGATAGAATTATGTAATGCTGTAGGTACCGTGGAAAGAACAGAAGGGATAATTTTCTTTTATTTCTGCCCATCTATTTATCTTTTTAGGAATGATTGGGAGGTGACGTGGCTGGATAATGACCTTTTAAACCTCTGTAAAAAGCCACTGGGCATAAGAATGACACCCATTCATCCTTTCATGAAAGAAAAAGGCTTATTTTTTGGGGGGGGTGGGAGTCATTGTTTTTGCCTTGCAGTAATTGCAGCCTATATAATATAATAATTATTATTTAAGGGACTTTAAAATTACTGTTTCCCTGCAACAATATTTTTCATAAAGCAGCTTAAGTATCTATTTTCTTCCTTTTGTCAACTTTCTGGATTATTTTGCTTCCTACTACTTACATATTCTTGAAGGTTTGTGTTATAAAAAGAAGAGTGTCATAGTTCTAATAATTAAATTAAGTCCTAAGTCAGCCACATTTACCACAGTGGGATTTACTTTGGAGTAGACATCCAAAAGGTTGAGGTGTTGCATAGTCAAAAATGACAGGATCTGAGGAGGACTTGGCTGCTTTCCCAATTTGAAATGGAGGGGAATGGTATCAGGATACAATATATGGATGCTGCAAATTTTATAGAATGTATGATATCATTGTTCAAATCTGTTCAAGTCTAAAATTTACAAATAAAATAGCCAGCATTGAAACCAATTCATGTTAATTTGAGAAAAACCAAAGCGCATAATTTTTGCTGTTCCCTAGAACTGTCGTAATTGTCATAAAAACAATAGATTATAAATGTATAACTGTAGTTACAATTAACTCTTCCCCCCACTCTCTCTCTCTCTCTCTCTCTCTCTCTGTGTGTGTGTGTGTGTGTGTGGTTGATTACAAAGGAAATGTTTCTACTCTTAATCACAATATTGCATACATTCTGATAAGTTAAGGTCAGAGTAAAATTTTCCCCATACCACCTTCTCCATTTTGCTACTGTTAGTATCTCCATTGGTGCTGTTTATTCAGCTCTGTTAGGCATCTTAGATGATTTCCTATATTTGGCTAATAAAATTCTCATTAGGGTAAAAAGATCTCTAAACAAAGCTCCTGCTTTTGGTGTTCACTGTATTCTTCAAACATCCAAGCCAGAATGCTTTACAGTGGAAGGGAAAATTTGATCTTGTACGTCTTCTAAATAGTCCATTAAAACTTTCCAGCCCTTAAAAATACACATGCACATATGTAGGGACTTTCCTACCAGACATGTAAAAGTTCAGCATTGTCTAGGAATGCTCCTAGCTTTCATATGTATATGTCATATAAATCCTGCTCAATATGTAAGGTGACAAGTACCACTGATATACAGTTTTGGCATATGATTCTGATTTGCCTCTGTTAAGCCTGCAGAGTTACTGATGTTGAGATCCTAATTTAGGATACAGTTCTGTGCATCCTTACCTGTGGGTAAATTTGGATCAGAAAATTCAGTGGGACTTCCTTCTGAACAGGTTGGTATAGGGCTGCTCTGTTAACCCTGAAGAGAAATTCTAGAGTTTTCAGAAGAATTTACTCTCAAAGTAAATCTATTGCATGTCAAAACCATTGGGGCTTTAACTAACTATTTGGTCCAGTGGTGAAGATGGTTGGATAGGTCGATCAAATTAATCTTAACTAACACTATGCAGTTAGGCCAGGTAAATGTCACTGGAATGCAGCAGAAGACTTCAAGGTGTCCATTTGCAGTATGGAGTGCCTAGAAGCCTAGCAAAGCACCACAAACTGTTATCACAAATGTTTGTAGTGCATGGTTAACCTCTTGGGTTGTTCCACGCTTGCCCCTGTGTGGGAAGGGGTGTTCCAACTTGCCTGCTCTTTTCTGTGCATTCTTTGCTGCACCTGAGAGCGTGGTGTAACTCTTTGCTTCTGCAGCCATTTTTTGGATTAGAGCCATGGGCCACAATCCAGCACAGAGCTGAGCATACCTAGGGTCATTAACTGTTTATCTTGAAGCTAATCTGCTGGTTTGGGGAGAAGCAAAGGATGGAAAAGGTGTTGGTGGGGTGTGTGTGGAAATCCTTTTTGCTGTAGCTCCTCCCCCAACCCCTCCTCCCTTTCAGTAACTTTTATTCTTACATTAAATTTTTCTTGCTTTCATGGAGAATACTCTGTGGGAAATGATTTTTCTCCCCCTGGGAGGAGAGGCATGTATTGTCCATCAATACATCTCAGTGTAAGTTAGAAGACCTACAACCCAAGGGGAAATTCTCCTCCACAAGTTGCGTTCATTATAATTGGGGATGAAAGGGACAGGTTGCACAGAAGACTTTCCCACTGGATTTTGCCTGTTGGTTTTGTGTTTATTTCTGACTTGGCAAAAGCTGGCACATTTTTAAAATTTTTGTTTCCAGAAATATCTTGAAGTCTACAAATACTGTATGGATTTTGCATGGATTTGCTCCGTTTCTTCTGTTATGCCAACACAATACAACCACTGAGTTCCATGAAACTGTTACACATCTTCCACTATTTTTTAACACTATCAGGGTATCAAATTACTCTTTCTTCCTTCCATTGTTATAATTGCATCAACGTCTCTCCTCTACCATTTAATACTTTTCTTATGCTGCTGTCATGCTATTCATTCTGGGTGTTTTTATATATACATATTCATTTTCTCTGGAAAACTGGTGGTAAATGACAATTCTATTTCCTCTTTGTGGTTTATTTTTAGTTTTCAACAACAGCAAATACATATATGTATATAAATAATAGGATTCTTTTCCTTACACAGAATTGTTATGGGGCTCCGAACATTTTCTGATTTTCTCAATACTACATGTTTGCTATTGTTGAAAACTAAATATAAACCACAAAAGGGAAACAGAATTGTCATTTACCACCAGTTTTCCAAAGAAAATGAAGAAATCTGGTAATATATTCTTTAAGGACAGCATAATAATATATATTACCTTTTACACGTTTGTTTTCACACCGTCATAGCCCTTTTCCAGTGTAGAAAAGAATAGGCAACTTCACACCTCTGTCAGTTTACTCTGTGCCTCGCAACATGTACCATGGAGAGTTTGATGCTTCCTGCTCTAAATGTTCTTGATGTTGTCTGTTACTGGGTGAAGATTATTTGATATATTTATTAATCGTACTATGGTGCTTCTGGCATAAATAAAGAATTTATTTATAACAATATAGTTCTGTCAAATCCCAATCCCTTAAACTAAGCATAACCAGCCTCATAGCCATCTCAAATTTTAAAAGCCATAATCATTTTTCAATATGCAAAATATTTGGAAGTGTTTTATACTGTCCTCATGTAAGCTAGCCAGAAGTGGAATTCTACTTAGAAGGAAAATTTAATAGGTCCAGTGGGAGATGTACAGTCCAGGGACGTTTGTGTAAATTTGCAGCCTACGTATGCTTCCATGGGAGAATCCTGTTCTAATCAATGACGTTTGACTTTTAAGCAAGTTGGAGGGCTGGTGGGAGAAGAAGCAGGAATACAGGCTTAACATTTTAAAACTCAGTCAAGACAATATGAGAGTTACACTGAATTGTTGGCATAGTTCCTTTCAGAGTAGTGCAAAATAATAACAACAGCAATAACAGTAATTGGAAGGGGGGGAACTGAGGTGGGACACATACGGTCTGATTTGCATGTATTTCTCATCAATTACGTCAGTGACCCAAAACCTCCTTTGCTTGATGTTTCTATTGCCTTTAAAACACACACACACAAGGAAATCAATGGGAGAAGCCTTTATGCTGTTCACAAAGCTGAAGAATTCAAAACCTTTAATTGCCTAAGGAAATGAGCAGGGTCCCTCCCAACCGAAATAAAGATTTGCCTCTTAACGTAGCCAGCGGTCTTCTCCCGAAACAGAAAAATTCTCTCTGTTTCACCAGCTTCTAGCGTTTACTTGTTGCTCTTGTGGCATTTTGAAATAGTCTCCCTGAACACTATTTTGTCCTTTTCCATACAGGGTTGAATGAGTGGGGAAGGGTTTGCTTTTTGCAGATGTATAGAGAAGATGTCTCGTGTTAATTGTTTCTACATGAAGCTGGAAGTGTAGGTAACTGAGTCTGCGAGCGAATGAAACGGAGGTGGACCGAAAGGAAGCCGTTTTGCTTGCTCCAGGCACAGTCCCTTGGGAATATCTCCTGCAGAAGCCTGCCTAAAATTCATGTGCTTACACAGCTTCAATTCGTTCTATGTTGGCTTGCCCAGAAGACTTTCCTAGGAGATACATGCTTATTGTCTTCCATACTCCTGGCTTTCTTGTCTTCCAGTTAAGAAGAAAACATTGGCAGCGGCAGGGGGGGGGGTGGAGACAACTTTGTAAAGTTTCTATCTTGAACATGTCCTGATAGAAATGCACCTTTCTTCCTTTCCTAATTAGGTGCACTTTCAAATGCAAGCAGTGTGCATTTCTGTACACCATGAGCGCTTCACATCCAAGTGCAAGTTTTACCCCCTAGTAAAAAAAAAACCCTGACAATCAGCTTGTTTGCTCCGTACAGGTTTAATTCAGCCATTGTGGCATCATTTGAGTTGTCTGTGTGTGCTGCTGTACAACTTGGCAAACTTATTTTTGCACACTGATTGAAAGGACGGCTCCTTACAGAGGGTGAAATTGGACATGATAGAAGCCAGTCTGAACACTGAAACTCAGATCTGTCTTGCTCACACAGAAAGCAAAGGGACAATAAACTGCAAAAGGGGTGTACAGCAAGAGTTGTGGGGTGCTTCCCTTCTCAGGATGCATTTCTCTGCAAGAGGATACATTCTGGAACAAAAGGGGATCCAGCTGCCCTCTCCCCCCCATCCTTAAAAGTCAGGTCCCTTGTCTCACTTCTGTGTTTTGGGGAGAGATCTGGGTTTTAATACACAGATCTAACATCCCCCACATCCAGTTTGATTACTGCACAAACAATTTTGGCTACCCTCCCTTTCCATTTTTCATTTCCTTCTAAGAGGCTTCAGGAATAAATTTTAAAATGTAGTGTGAGAATGTGTCAGATATGTATTGGGTGTAATATTTGGAAATATTCCTCCCCCCCCCCATCTGC